TGTGTGTGTGTGTGTGTGTGTGTATGTGTGTGTGTATTTCATTTCATATATATTGCATATAATGTAACATTTATATGCATATATACTTTAATATATGCTATAGACATGTGTACATGTACATTTATGTGTATATGTACATATTTATGTGTATACCTACACAGACAGAAACAATACCCTTTAAAATTCTTGCTTAATTCTGTGCTTAGGAATTTAAATGATAATCTGCAGACAAAATAATTTTTGTGCTGATCTTTGAATTCATAATTCTGAAGTTTCTTCCTTACTTTGAGATAACATAGGTCTCACGCCGTTATCTAATGTTTACTTGTCTTCCTTACAGAAATATCTTAAAGGCAGATMTAAAAACAAACAAAAGAAACACTTTGCCCTCTCTCTACATAGACACTGTTTTTTCCACGTGCCCCCACCCCCAAGAAATAACTGGCAACTATAGTTGGTTCTTTCCACTCAATCAAAAAAATGTTCTCAAAGTGCTCAAGGCCTTTCTTTTTGCCTCACATTGCCTGAGAAACAGAGTTTATTTTCCTTTCTGCTTTTGATGGAATAACTGAGTACTTTTAAGGAAACAAAAGGGCTGTTAGCATAAACGCAGGATCAGTTGGCAAGGAAAAAATTACCCTAAAAATGTGAGGTCATAGGAGATGTATTACACCTTTGTTTTGTATTTCATTCTCTAAAACTGTTATTCTTATGTGAGAAAGAAGAGCCAAGCCTTTAAAGTAGTGCTTGGATTGTTGAATCTGATTCCACTAACAGTGAAAGAAATCTTAGCGTTGGAAGAAGTGCTATTTGAAAACATGAGCTTTGTTTTGAATGTTTCTTTGAGGTTTAGGTAGGTGCACAAGGTACAGGGAGGAGATGGAAAGAGGAGATTTCTTGGTAGAAAGGGCACATGGAAGAGGCAGATAGGAGGAAGAGAGGGGCCAGTATTCAAGAAGCCCCCAGAGCCACTTTGTGGGAGAAGTCTCTGCAGCCCCTCYAGCACTACATTCCATAAGCTGTCAGCCTTTCCCACCTATCACCTCCCTGGGGACCATCTTCTCACATTTCACTCCTGTCTTGTTGAAAAATGGATGGATGCTGAAGTTGATTGCTTCAAATTGCTGCAGATGTCTCCTTTTTTTTTCATTTTGGAATTAAAAAACATTCATTAGCCTGACACAGTGGTGCACAACTGTAATCCCAGTGGCTCAGGAGGCTGAGGCAGGAGGATTGCAGGTTCAAAGCTAACCTCAGCAATTTAGCAAGGCTGTGAGCAATCTAGTGAGATCCTGTCTCAAAATAAAAGGTCAAAAAGGACCAGAGATGTGGCTCAGTGGTTAAGCATCCCTAAATTCAATCTCTGGCACACACAAAAAAATTACTATTTTAGAATACTTCTACAATGAGAATTGCTATAAAGAA